ACGCCCTAGAGGTACAAGAGGACGGATAAAGTAGGAGTAACTCCAGTGAGTTGAGGGCAATCGATAGACCCACTGTGAACAATTTAAAAGTTGAATAGCTTCAATGCACTGTGGGCAATAGATAAACCTACTATATGTCAAAAGCTGAATGGCCTCGGTTAGTTGAAAGCAATAATAGATAAACCTACTAGGAACTAAACGTTGAATAGCGTCAGTGAGTTGAAGCCAATAGAACAACCCACCTTGATATGACAGTTGAATACTTTCTGAAAGTAATAATATGATAGCCTTTGTATAACGCAAATCCCCGCTCAACAGCAAGCTAAAGGCGCTTCACAATCTAAACTATTACACCAGCAGACCAGAGAGCATTCTGAAACGACCTCAACTTCCTGGGAAGCATACAGTGCAAGCGGTCATTTATAGGCTCTAAAACACTAACATCTGACACTGACAAGATCTTTCGCTGTCTATGCCCGGGTACCCATTCCCGCCTGGGTAAATTAGTGAGGAAAATTCGTGTAAAGTGCCTTAACCGAGGACATAACATCGGGCTGGCGGCTTGAACCCAGAACCCCCGAACCCGCAACCTCACGATTGCGAGTCTGGTCGCCTAGCCACAAGGCCACCGACGCCACCAATAGATCTATAAGCCTATCATGAATCAAAAGTTGAATTCTGTCAGTGAGTTGGCATTAAATACACCCACTGTGAACCGATTGTTGATTTTTCAGTGAGTTGACAATACATAGACCAAGGGGAACCAATTGTTGAATTCTTTTTAGTGAGTTGAGGGACATAGATAGACACATTGTGAACCCATAGTTGAGACTTCGGTGAGTTGTTGGCAATAGATACACCCACAATGAGTCAAAAGTTAAGTCACGTCACTGATTTGAAAGCAATATATAGACCCACAATGAGTCAATAGTTAAGCGACATCATTGATTTGAAAGCAATAGATAGATCCACCATAAGTCAATAGTTAAGCGACATCATTGATTTGAAAGCAATAGATAGATAGATCCACCATGAATAAACAGTTGCGTGATCCAAAATGAGTATCTTCAGTCAGATGTGAGCAACTAATACACCCACCGGGAGAAGAACATTTAGTGGCTTCAATGACTAGAGGGCAACAGCTGATGTAGACATACGATCGTGAGACGATAGTTGATCAACTTCAGTGGGTTGAAGGCAATATTATATTGCATCGCAAGTTCTCTATTCATTTGGTATACAATGTATGTCTGTTCTGTCAATATTGAAGCAACTAAAACACGCACGAATTACTCTTTTACGTTTCTTCGATTTCGCGCAAGTTTGCCGAAGTCTGAATATTTTAATGTAAGTTTTGAATGACCATTTTATCTTGGTCCCCCCTTAAGATAGATGAGATAGTAACGTGTCAGATTATGTAGAATACATTTATCTTTAAATTGGTATTCTAAATGCGTGGGTTGTGCAAGGCTTTAACCCTGTGATCGAGTGATTGTATTTTCAAGTTTCTTTTGGATGCTACAGTGTAGACTATCGTAAGCCAATTGTTGAGTAGCCTCACTGAGTTGATGGCAATGCTTACAGATCGAGCAAGCTTGAGTGAAATGATGGTATTTCAAAGACCAACTGTGTGTGTACCAAGAGTTGAGTACTCTCATCAGTGAGTTGAGGGCAATCGCTGTTACTTTCCTTGCCTTCCTAATTTATTATTATTATTGTTATCACTATTACCTTTATTATTATTATTATTATTATTATTGTTGTTGTTTTTGCTGCTCTTGTTATTATCATTTTTGAAGATTGATAAACATTACGAAAAAGATGATAACAATATAAAACAATAATATTGATAATGATAATAATAACAATCTATATAATACTTCTGTGGTAGGCACATCAACTGCCAACAGCCAACTACCCCCTTTGAGGCGGGCCTCAGTGCATGACGGAGAGCAAACGGTTATGGTTTGTGTTACAGTAATTGAGAATGTCTGCAGTTTATGTTACAGTTATTGAGAATATCTTGTTGATGCCTCTGTTACAATAATTGAGAATGTCTGCGGTTTATGTTACAGTAATTGAGAATGTCTGGCTGCGGTTTGTTTTACAGATATTGAGAACGTCTGAGGAAGTAATGGGCTGAAACAGGTTGCGGACTCATAAAGGGTCTATGGACTCCTTGAGTCCTCAGTCGCTGTTGTGTAAAGGGTAACCGTCACAAAGGAGCATATAATATATGCAAAGGAGAGAGAAAAACATAAAGAGATAAAGGGAAAGAAAAGAGAGAAACAGAAGGAGACAGAGAACGGAATAGAGAGGGAGAGCGGGAAAGAATGAAAAAGAGAAAGAAAGACAGATATATATATA